TGACTTTCTGGACATCATTGCTAGCGAAAGACATGCTATGTTTGGCACCAGATTAACGTAAGAATATACGACGTGCGAAATGTTGTGGTCATCCTGAATATTAGATCGTTATTTACGTGAAAATCGAGGTGTTTGTACGCTCAAGCGAGTTATTTATTTGTTAAGAATTGGTAGGAAAGAAACGTGTTTGCGTGTTCACTAGAACATCAGCGTTGGAGTAAAATAGCTGATGTTGAGTTTAGTCGAAAATCTGGCGTGTAAAACCATCTTTGTTATTAAAAAAGTGCTGTTCACAAGGTTTCAAAGTTTGAGCGACATTTTTCACGCTTGAAAAACTCTAGGCTGAATATGTAAGTTGATAAAAAAATTAAAATGTCCATTTCGCGTCATCGGGTTAGAAATTTCGTCCAAAATTCATCAATGTTTCAGCCGCGGTCACGTCTTGTCCACGTAATTAGCTTGAATCCCTTATCCGCCCAGGCCGGCAAATACGTTTCGTGTTCTTGCTTTGTACCAGTATTAGGCGGTACAATTATGATACAATTTTCTGGCAGTGAATTTTAGTGAAATCGGTAGAATTAGTGCGAACATAAGGTAATTCTTTACGTATAGTTTTAGATGCGCTCAATAATGATACCTAAGGCTTGCTGTGATATTGTAAATTTTGCAAAAATAACTTTGATTGGAAAACTAGTGATCTGATAGTCACTTTTTTTATACCACGCCTGACTTGTTCTGTGCACGATGTCGGAAGGCTTTGTGCAGTTCATTGATAGCAGTTTATTTATTATTTAATGGAACAATCGAATTCAAGCGCCGGAAGGCTGCATGGCGAGTTCAAATCTCATATATATGGTGAATACCTGCTTTATTTTGGAGAAACTTCTGAATGCCAATGGAGAGTGTCAAGTTGTAAATTGGCAACATTGCAATAAGAGGTTATTGGATGTGAATCAAGCTGAATTTGAAAAATACAAATTTTGTGGAGTTCCTAGAGCGTCCGTGAAGTGCACTTGGGATGGGATAGCTGTGAACGTCAATAATATTTCATTGCTCATGGCAATAAAATTAGTAGTTTGATTTTTTATCACGTAGCTCCTAATTCGTATCATAATGGCGTTCTCTCGCATAGAAAATATGCATCGACTGTGCAAACTCAATGGAGAAACTAACAGTTTTCCTACACGAGAACGGAATCTCCACATTGTGGGAGATCCAACAAGAGACTGTCTGGAGATCCACACGAGGCCATTGCCAGGAAACCCTCGAAAATGTGAGCTCAGTAACGAGCAGCAAACTGCTGGGCTCTCCACAGGCTTCGTCGCAATAATGTAAGAATATTTCCCCGTATTAGAAAATAACAGAAATGGCCTATAATTTCAGTCATTTTATCGGGTCAATAATAACAGCGTTGTAGTTCTGGCGCACTTCTGTTCACTGAAGTGGCAACTTGGGCTCGCCACTGCATGGTTACTGTGATCAATCGTATAATATTCATCGCTTTACGTAGAAAATCGATGAGTGTACTGACGAGTATTTAAAAGTTTCCACTGTGATAGAAATTTCAAATATTGTAGTCTTTGTAGATAATTTTAAAGCAACTCAGAGAACGAATGTACGAAAACAAAATTGATTCTGAGAATTGATGAAGTTCACACAAACAAGTCTTTCAGACAATTTGCAATCATTGCCATGCAATCAACGACCACTCTGACAATTTTTCGTTAATTCATCCGGTGGATTTCTTGTTTTGATAATTTTTTTAAACGAACTTGGTGATCCACGAGTTACTTACTACTTTACATGGAACTCTCTGTTGCACGTGTAACAGCTTGGGAATTGGCCGCATGACCTGCTGTATATATATCAACAGACACTATCTAGCCCAAAATTCATGCTAATGGCCTCTTTGATTAGGCTCAGGTTAATAGGTTGTGTCTTGTATGTAACTCACCAGTAAAACTATCTATAGTTCAACTTTAATATAGAATAGAAGTATCGGCACTGTAGAAATAGGCCCATGGTATATATATAAAACCGACCTGAGTAATGCAGCGAAATTGGCGAGGGAGTAAAGCAATGGTCAACTTTAGATAAATCCTGAAGGAAAATCTTGATATATATAAAAAAAACAAATACTTAAAAGCAAGCATTGCATAGAAATTTGATGGACTTGTTACTTAGGACGTCCAATTTCAAATCAAGTCCCCCAACGTGTAAGTTTATACTTGAATTTGATTCATTACCGATCGTGTTTGACATGCACGGGAACGCTGAAATATTGAATTACAGTTCATCCTTCATTGGAGGACTGTAAGGGAGATTTAAAGGTTTTTGCTCTTAATTAAATTTTATATCTAAATATTACTCGTCTCGTTCTGAAAGTAAAATCGACATAAAGGACTATTTTACCATAACTATTTTTATTCTTGCCTGTTCTCATTGCTTCGTTATTCTATCGTTGGTCACGTGATGACTAAATATGTATATATATACTCGTACATCAGTTGCACACCGTAAGTGAAATGACCTTGAGCAAGAATGAGTTACGTGGGCGGAGGTTTTGAAAATACTTTGAGATAAGACAAAAAACATGCTTCAATCACTAGTAAATTCTGTGTCCGATGCTTGGAACAACGCAATTGAAAGTAATTTTATAGGTAATATTGCTTGGAAATGCCTGATTTACCTGTAAAATGTGCAAATTTAATGAAAATCGTCATAAGCCGAAAATCTAAATTACGCAGCATAATGTTGAGTTGAACAAATAGCTTTAGGGTTACTTTTCTTAGTTGGCACCGAACAAATTATTTGTTTTTGTATATGGAGGGATTGGTTTGGTTTCTCCGGTGACTCTTGAACTTTCAATCGCTGCACAAGCCAGATCAGCTGTTCGCGGTTGGAAACTAAGTCTGAGACCGAATAATTCCTGATGATGGTTACGGTAGCTCTTCCAATTTGTGAATTTCGACTCGAACAGCAATCTCAGTAACTCGCTCTATTAGTAGTAGTTAGGGGTTAGGTTCGTCACTACAATTCATCATTTCATGCCAGCTGCAGTTCATTTCTGTTCTGTTAAATACCTAGATGAAGAAATGATGGACTTTGATCCTTATCATTTTGCTATTACAAAAGATTGGTGTGTTGTAGGTATGTTTATTGTATTATTGATAGGTACTTAATCAAGTTGATGGTATATTTGGAATTATCATTTGAAATTTTTTGATTACTTTATATATTGCAAACAAACTCTAATTAATTACACATAGGCTATAGAAAAATTTGTGACTGAAATTTAAGAAGCATATAGGCCTATCTGCCCCCAAAATTCTGCTTTTGATAAAATTAAAATACTTTAACTTTAATCAATCTTTTCCAATTTCTATTGTATATAATAATGTCACAATGCCACAACAATATTAAATAATGTCAATTGTTGTGAGTTGTGTCTGGTGACTGGGGTCAGTCCAGTGTGGCGATGCAGTTGCTATTCATTGAATCATTGTTGTGCAGTGTGTTTTAATTAGATTTGTTTTAGTAATTAGATTTTCTCTAACCATGTTCAACATGAATTCAATTTAGATCCAGCCACATGGTTAATTCAACTTCTATATTCAATCTGAAATACAAACTCTACAAAGTAAATGTTTTTGAAGAACATGATTAGTACCTATTTCAATTTTTTTCACAAATATATTGTAAAAAAATATGCTATCTATCTTTTTCTTTGGTTTTGGGCCTGATGTAGGAAAGTGGGCAAAAGCCACTCATGAATTGGACTAAACTCCTGTGATTATTATGCAAATATTGCCAATTTTACCCACTCTTAGTCTTAGGTATGGCATTTTCCTAATTTCTTCAGCAAAAAATCAGAAAAAAGGTTCATTTTCACCAGCAATTTAAAAAAAATGCCTGTGAAACAATCATTTTCAATCAATATTCCAAGTAGGTTATGGAACTTGTGGGCTAATTACTACGAGCCTAAGTCTAACTTTCTAAGAGGTTTCACTGCTAATTCCAGTTTGGCTCATTCATTGGAAAATGGCAGGCAAAAATGATCATTCAGTAGATCATGTCATTCTTTTTCATTTTCACAAAAAAATTTGTCAAGAGTTTTGAGAATGGGAAAAAATTCATGGCAAACATAGGCTCTTCTGTCTCATTTATGGATGACTTCTTTCTGATTTGCCTGTTTGGCTCTTGATATCACTTGGCATTGAGTAAACACAATTCAACTTGTTGCCTTGTCAAAAAGCATGTACCTAGTACCTACTGGTCAGAAATGCAGCTGCAAATTTGTAAAAATTTATTAGATTAGGATTGTGATGCATAATTGAATCTGAAAATTTTGCCTCAATTTTCATTTCTCTCAGTTATAGCTTTGCACATACTAATCAAATTTTGTCAAATTTTTATCCATCTTGGTTTAAATATTTCCTCCTGTAGTTCTGTCACAACTATAAGAATAGTACATACAAATATCAAGAGGTTCTGAATGTTTATTATAATCTTCCAGTACAATTTCATTCAGAACATAAATTGATTCTTTTTTTTTGGGCAATTTTATGTGTACTGGGCAGACTGTAACACTTTTTCCTTCTACAATTTTGTGCTTCAAAAATTATATCTTTCTTTGTCAATATTTTTAAAGAAAGGTTATGCAGTTTATCCAAGAAATTGCCATTTTGATATCACATATTCTGAAATAATACCTACATTCTGATGCATGAGCTGAAAATGGAACATAGCCAAAAAAAAAAAAACACTTGAATAAAACATGATTTTAATAATAAATGTTAATTAAAAAATTTGCCTGTTAAATAATGGAAAATGTACCCATATCAACCTAAATTTCTACAATGTACACCTTAGAAATGTTTTGTTCTCCTACATGTCACAGACAGGTATGCTGTTTTGGAGGTAAAAAACTGAAAATTTGGTCAATTACCAACCTTAGGTTAAAAGATTCACAGTCAACTTGATTCATGTATCTTTCACAGATTCTGTTGAAGGAAGCAAGGAGAATGTGGCTCCCCTGGACAAGAGCTCAAGTCAAGCATCCCTCACCCATGAGCCTGCGTCATCCATACCCGCAGCTATGAAAAAATTGGCGCCTGCTCCCATAACCACCACTACATATACTGTACATTTTTTGGAAAAAATTAGCTAATTTTGATTGTCATTTAGTGATTTAAAATTGATTCAATCATAAACTTAACTTAATTATCTGTAGATATACATGTCAGATCACTAAAAAAATGGCTCTAATTTCTTCACAGTGTGTATGATTTTATATTAATGAGTGCATTATACTAGTGGTAAAGTCGTCTTAGGCTTCATATTTTTCTTCTTCAAATTTTATGTTCCTATCTAGGATCATGACATTTCATCATTTATATATACCATTTCAAATTATTTATCCTGGATTTGGTATACAGTAAACATAACAGAGTTAGTATCAAAACATGACTAGTCTGTTGTTTATTTTAATCCTAATGTTATGAAGATAATAGTTAAGCTTTGATGTTCTGCTATTGGTAAAGGAGACAGTTTTGCTTCTGATACACTGGTATCCTCTTTTTGCATGCCAAAGAGGAAATAAAGGAGAATTGAACTAAATTTATGTGAAAGTATTCTGTATGTATTAAGTACTAGGACTTCACAAGTCCTTTTTAATTTTCAGATCATTAATTTTTTAACTTCCCCAATAATTGTAATGCCTTTTATTTTATTTACTGTTTTCATAAAGAATAATTCCTTAATTTGGTTAGTGATTCTATTTTTAACCTGATTTGAACTATTGCAGGTTGAGGGCAGTGACACGCTGATGAGCATTGCTGCTCGTTTCGACACAACGCCTTCTGAGTTGACAAAACTCAACAGGCTTTCAAGCCGCTACCTCTTCCCTGGCCAGTCACTGCTCGTGCCACTGAGATCAGGACAAACTGCCTCGGCACAGGATAGCTCCTCACCACAGACTACTGCACTCAGTTCAGGTGAATTTACTGCAGATGATAAATTTTGGCACTATTTGTCATTGGGGAGTCAGGGCAATTAACTATTGTGCTGAAGTACAATTTGATGTAGATGCTGTGATAAATTAAAACTGGTTTTGTTGCATACTAAGTTGGCAATATTCATAAAATTTTCTCAACTATTTGCTCAGTGTAATTTTGAACAATTTATTGAGACTAAAAGCAAAAATTGCAGAGTACCAATTTATTCTCGAAATTGTTAATGGTGCCACAATCAATAATGAGGTATTAGAATTAATAACTACAACCTGGCTAAATATGCACTAAGTTGGTTGAAGTTACAAGGTGTTTTTAGCGCATTCTCTCTTTTAAGGAAAAGAGGCGCTATTGTGCTCGCCATGTCCGTCCGTCTGTCTGTTCGTGACTTCACGTTTTTGTCGACGAGAAAATGCGCTCTCTGTCACCCACTGCAGTGAGTACTGAGTTATTTTTTTTTGTGTCCAGCAGGGAGCGGTGGGACTCCCCGTACTCCGGCCAACAGCTTGGACTTGGACCGAGCCCTCGACAAGGAGTGTCTTGAGCGCTTCCTCAAGCTCAGGGTCCGCCATGTCACTGATGGCCAAGTAAATGCTCACTATTCTTCAAATAAATAAGATAGTCGAAAGTCAATGCAAAAAAGTTTAATGTAAATGCATGGAAGCTTGATGGAAAGTCTTGAGAAGTTGCAAGAAAGTCTGTATTGAGTGCAGTGCAGTTAAAAGTAATTTCGAGAGTCTTGAGTAAATGCACCATTATATAATTTTATGTAATTAGACAGCCTCTCAGGTAGTTAGGCTATTGTTGTAACCTCAAACTATAAAACTTATTATGGTATGTTGTGTACAGGAACGAGTTTAACTCGGATGAACCAAGACAATTTAGTTCTCTTCCAAATTTAATTCTCTTCCTTAGATATTAAGAAGAATGAGATGCTCATCGTTGCTTCACTTCTTCAAAGCAGGGATTTTATATGTAATCATTTTAAATAGTTCTCTAAATTTTTAATTTCAGCAAAACATTGATGCATACAGGTGATTGTTTGAAGTGAATGAATGTTTGCCAAACTTTTGGATTATTTCGAGACTGGTTAAAAAAAATCAGAAAACACTATGTCGGTTGGATCCCTCTGTGTTAAATGTCTTAGAAATGGTTAACTTTGTGATATGCACATTGATTACGTGAACAGAGAGACCCCTTCACTTTCAAACATATGTATTAAGAATGCATAATACCTATTACATTTATTTTTCATTCATGTACAGTAAATTATGGAATTTCACCAGCAATAAAGATGAAATAATATAATAGCAATAAAAAATGCTTTATTGCTGATGGTCTGAAGTAAAGTGCAATTCTTCAAAATCACAAACTTGTTTACGTTAGAATAACATTTGTATATTTAGGGTAGAGACCTTTGTTTAGACATGTTTGGTTAAAAATAATGCCAGTTTTTATTAAGAACTTCTTTTGAGCTTCTCAAAACTTCTTTTAGAATTTTCTTCTTGAGAAGCAAAACTTATTCTTCTTCTTGAGAAACAAAACTTCTTTTGAGCTTCTCAAGCTTTCTGATAAAAGGTACAATAATAAGGTCAACAAGTCTTGAAATTTGTCCAAATTGAAGGTTAATGTATATAATAACAATGAATAAAGCTTGTTTATTCTTGGTCTGAAGTAAATTGGTCTAGTCTTGGTCTTCAGATCACAAATTTAAGTTATAATAACAATAAAAAGCTTGATTGTTCTTGGTCTGAAGTAAATTGGTCTAGTCTTGGTCTTTATATCACTCATTTGTTTAAGTTATAATAACAATAAAAAGCTTGATTGTTCTTGCTATAAAGTAAAATGCAATATTCAGATAACTAATTTGTTTGTTATAATAACAATAAAAAGCTTGATTTTTCTTGCTATAAAGTAAAGTGCAATGTTCAGGGCATCGTGGGGGGCGTGGTGCTGGTCACGCCCAACGCGATCATGTTCGACCCTGACGTGAGCGACCCGCTGGTGCTGGAGCGCGGGGGCGCCGACACCTACGGCTTCATTGCCCCCATGGAGTGCCTCGCTAACGCTGCCATCTACAACGACATCGCCACCATGAGGGTTAAGGACACTAAGCTGCCCAGGTCTGGACTGCTGTGTCATAACTACACTAAGAATAATAAAAATAATATATAAATAATATAAAATTTAATAATGAAAGCACATAATAATTAATGTAATGAATATTAGGCTGGTGAAAGGCTAATTATTTCACAGACTTGCAGTGATTCTGGTTTACGTTGAGGCATATCATTGCTGTTCAACAATGGAATACAAGGATATGTCTTTTGATGCTTGTTTAACGCTCTGTATGTCTGCAGGCCTGAGCTGCCCAAGCCCGAAATTTACTACAGCCCTTCAATGAAGAAATCCATGATCACAAATGATGCTGCTGCAGCACCAACATCTCCGAAGGTGCCAACGTTTGGTTTACAAACAAATGAATTTTTTGTCTTCCTTGCACTTAATCATTCAATTTTATAAATTGCATTCATAATGTGTTTTGGGATTAAATTTAATTACATTATTCAATTTAATTGCATCAGATTCAGGATGAATGCAATATCATACTCAGATTCTAGAGTAAAAAATGTCAATTTAAAAACGGGGGTGATTACAGTTGACGTACTTGCTAGTTGAAATCAAATAAGATTCTATTACTCATTAAATAAGGTCGATATAGCTCATAACATAAGGCTGGTTTTGATCATGAAATAAGGCTGGTTTTACTCATGAAATAAGGCCGGTATTGCTCATGGTATTGAAGCGTGTACATGTTTATTCTGAAGGTGTATGGAGAAGGCACGACAGAGGCTGACGGAGACTCACCGGTGCTCCTGACGAAGGACGCCACATTCCCTGAGTTGAGCGTAGCGAGCGAGGGCACGAAGGCGACGAGCTCGACGGGCTCACAGGACGACGACTCGAGCTGCTCGTGTGGTGGTGACACACGGGACTCGTCTGCCTTCCCTAAGGCGTTCGAGCAAGAGCTACTCACCCCTGACACGTACCCACACTCACCCCTGCCTTCCAACGATGACATCCCAGACGCTCCCATGACACCCGCAGCCAAGACCGCCGGTGACAATCAAGAGTTACTACCGACTGCGCTATCACTTCAGGATGTTGTCCATCAAGATTCCTTGACCTCCAGTATCCACTTGCAGCCGCTCATGACCATCGATGAGGACACAACAACTGCCACCACGATGGCCACGGCCACTGAAACATGTACGTCTGGCGGCAGAACTACCAGCAGGAACGTGTCCTACGACAGCGCTGTGTCCATCTCCAGCGAGGTAGGGTACGGCATATTCTGCATTCATTATTTGGTTGTCTGGAGGTACTCTACTAGGTACTCTAATCTAGAGTTGACATCAAATTCTACTATCTATTCTACAACTATCTATTGATTCAAATTGTACTATCTATTCTACAACTATCTATTTTACAACTCTACTATCAGGTACTCTGATGTACAGTTCAGCAAAAATTCTGCTAACTATAGTGATGTACCTTGAATATCTAAGCCAGACGATTTTACGTATGAAATGATAATGGAAAATGTTGCCAGAGAATCAACTCGAGAGCCCAGTATAACCTTAACTCTTACCGTGTATTTTGTGGCGGTAGAATCGAAAATTGAAGTTGTTACTTCTACTAATAAAAACAGCTAAGGGTAATAATTGATGTCAGCTGTTATCAGTGTGATATTTTTAATCTGCACCGATGCACTTTTCTCTGTGTGTCACGTGTTGACATCTCTGTCGCGCACTGACCTCATTGTCTCGGCGCGAATAAGGCCGAGTTGACTAGAAAATTATAATATGAACAATAACATAAATATTTTTTTTCGATAGATTTTGGTTGATTTTGATAGATTCCACTTACATGGTTAGGGATAATTTATTATAAATGATAATTTAGAGCACAGAATAAAAATGTGACGACGTGTCAGCTCTTCGATGTTTTACGTATGTGTGTTGGGTGAACTGTGCTTGCTGTATGCACTAATTTATCTCATGGACTTACAGGTGGACGTGGTGGGCTGCAGCGGCTCAGTGGACAGCTCGTACGAGCTTGTGGACTTGAGAGAGGCGGCGGCCGCCCCGGCCACGCCGCCCCTCGTCCCCACCGCTGAGGACGGGCTCGCGCCCTCACAGGCCTCTCGCAAGCAGAAGGTCATTACTACTTCAATTTAGAACTAAGAACAAAGTTTAACTTGGCTCAAAATTTAGATCTTTTGTTCTCGAACAACTTGGTCATTTATGCGAGCTATAAAAAAAACAGGGAAGTTTTTCAATAATTCTTATAACATTATCTTGGAGTATAGTCTCTCTGACGCTTGCTCCCCGCTCATCCTATGACTTCTTCGGGATTTTGAAAAAAATTAGATCAGTACTCACTGCAGTGAGAAACAGAGAGCGCATTTTCTCAAAATCGACGAAAACGTGAAGTCACGGACGGACGAACATGACGAGCACAAAAGCGCCTTTTTAGCGCATTTTCTCATTTATGGAAAAAATGCACTATTGTGCTCGCCATGTCTGTCTGTCTGTCCGTTCGTCCGTGACCTCAAGTTTCCGTCGACGAGAAAATGCGCTCTCTGTCACTCACTGCAGTGAGTACTGAGTTATATTTTTTCTATAAATGGGAAAATGCGCTAAAAACGCCGCGGGGGCACTAAACCCTTCCCTCTCGGCGTGCAGGTGCTCAAGCGGCTCAGCAACCCGCTGTCTTGGATGGACGGTCTGGGTGGGGACGTTGGTGGGGGGACCACCGTGGGCCCCTCGGGGGGAAGTAGCTCATCTTCTATCTCGGGGGCGCCTCTCCACCCTGCCACCGACACCCACCAGCAGCAGCAGCAGCAGGGTGGTGGTGTTCTCTCGTCTGTGTTCAACATGACATCCAACGTCACATCGAACGTCTCTAATATGCTTACCAGGTATGGCTTACATTTCGTAGATTCGCAAACAATTATTCTCGTAATTTCAGTGTCTCGAACTCGGAGATTTTTTTTTAATTTGTGCCTTTTGTCCCGATCGAGGCTCTACTAAATAGCTGCTCAAGTTCGGTAGTACATGCCAGTTTTAAAGTTTTAAATGTCTCAACTAGAGTATTAGTATGTGTGATATGAACGTCTACGACGGAGTTGAATTCACACGGAAGATTTTCAAGGTCTTCGAGTCGTTGTTGACGCTGACTGTCATGTGAAATAACGGCGTTCAGTGTTCTGTTTGGACAATGTGGGTGTCGTGTTGTCATTGCTGGGGCTGTGAGAAATCTTGATCAATGATTTCGGCATTACTTCATTAAAACTAGTACCTTATCTCGGCAATGGTGGAAACATGCGGCTGCCTCTCCGTCCTAGGTTACCAACTGTGATGCAATAAAAAGTTTATTATATGATAATGACATTGATATAATGTCAGCGCTAATTTTAGACATTGCGAATTTCACAGCAGCGGTGGTCTCGAACCCCCAACTCATTGTTTCATCCAATCTTATTGTGCTAAACCGCCCAGTCACCTTACCGTTTTTGACTAGAATTTCAACAATTAGCCGCGGTTACGAACCCCCAACTCGCTGCTGCCATTCTGGTGATATATACCATTCGGCCACCACAGAGAACTTGAGAGAAGACAGTTAATTGAACTTTCACAATTTTGTGTTTCAATCAACGGATTGAAAACTTGCGAATTTTTGTGGTTTTGAATTTTTGGACATATGCGATTTTGCATTGCGTTGTCATAAGCTACTTTCGAAGATCGATCGAAATTAAATTCTGCGGATGGGAATCACGAGACCATGTGATTTTCATTCAACCTGTTGCTAGAAAACGTTGTCGTTTCTTCAAATCGAGTTCCAAAAATTTTTTTAATTCTGGAATTTTTGGCCGTCAACTTGAGTTAAAATCTCGTTTCAGGAGTTGAAGGGAATTTGATTTTGTAAAGTTGATCCTGATTCTGGCGAGCTGAAATTTTAAATCTGCAGTTGAAAGTATCGTCGAACCAAGAGCCTGTCCTTATCTGTTGATGTTTCAGAACCAGTAGTTCTGCTAATGTAGTATTTTGTGTATGCTTGGACAACAACAGTAAGTCAACCGTATGCTATTTGGCGAACAGTATCATCATTACAACGTCGCTTACAACCTCTTGCTCGATAAACCGAAGATAGCTTTATGGAGGGCAGTGCCGTGATGCAACCGTGCTGCTTAGGGGGCAATTCTTGCCTCCTCAGTAGGGGATTAGGGGACAAGTCTTGCCTACTCATTAGGGGTTAGGGGATAATTCTTGTCTTCTCATTAGGGGGTTAGGAGGCAATTCTTGCCTCCTCAGTAGGGGGTTAGGGGGCAATTCTTGTCTCCTCTGTAGGGGGTTAGGGGGCAATTCTTGTCTCCTCAGTAGGGGGTTAGGGGGCAATTCTTGTCTCTTTAGTAGGGGGTTAGGGGGCAAGTCTTGCCTCCTTAGTAGGGGGTTAGGGGGCAAGTCTTGCCTCCTTAGTAGGGGGTTAGGGGGCAAGTCTTGCCTCCTTAGTAGGGGGTTAGGGGGCAATTCTGGCCTCCTTAGTAGGGAGTTAGGGGGCAATTTTGGCCTCCTTAGTAGGGGGTTAGGGGGCAATTCTTGCCTCCTCAGTAGGGGGTTAGGGGGAAATTCTTGCCTCCTCAGAAGAGGGTTAGGGGGCAATTATTGCCTCCTCAGTAGGGGGTTAGGGGGCAATTTTGGCCTCCTCAGTAGGGGGTTAGGGGGCAATTTTGCCTTGGGAATACCTTACCTTTCCTAGAACTGGGCTACTCCTTACTAGGGCAGAGCAAATCTAACGTCTTGTTGGACTTTGGTTCCTCTTTAGTTAGTAATTAAGTTATTTATGAAATAAATACGTAGCTCATTAGGTTGTGGGCTGAATTAAAAAATGTCTAATTATGCTTAAAGTTCTGTTTAAGTTGGAAATTATTTCATTACTTATAATTTTCGCAAGTTAAACCTGTGAGCCAGCGTCAATATTGACGGTTTGTCTCCCCTGCACCGCGGACGCATCTTCAGCGACTACAGGCCCCTAATCCTGCTAAAATTATTGTTCTACTGTCTTATTATTTTGTGTGAATGTGGTTCTAGCAGGATTTTTCTGTTTACGTTGGAAATTATTTCATTACTTATAATTTTCGCAAGTTAAACCTGTGAGCCAGCGTCATTATTGACGGTTTGTCTCCCCTGCACCGCGGCAGCTCACCCAAGTACCTGGCAGACCTCGGGTCTGGTCTGTTCGCGCGGTCTCCATCAGACCCCTCCAGCCACTCGGGGGATTTTACAGACTTTTTCACCTCCCATTCCCCTCCTAACCCCCCGAATCCTTCCCCCGCGACCATGTCCCCACAACCCCCCTCCCCATTCCGACAAACACATCTCATTCTCGGCGGGTACGTACGCTTGCGTTGTGCGGACCACTGGACGTTCGTTGGTTGACATTCGTAGATCCCCGCTGCCGTCCCCTGCTGTGCTTGCCTCTCATCTTGACCAGCGTCCTTAGTTCGTTGTCTACTTCGTTCCTTAGTTTGCCTTTTATTTCGTCACTTAGTTTGTCTTCCATTCCATCCTTTAGTTTATTTTCCACTTCGTCCTTTAGTTTATCTTCCATTTCGTCCTTTAGTTTATCTTCCACAGTTCCACTTCGTCCTTTAGTTTAGCTTCCACTTTGTCCCTTAGTTTATCTTTCACTTTGTCCCTTAGTTTATCTTCCACTTTGTCCCTTAGTTTATCTTTCACTTTGTCCCTTAGTTGTTGTCTACGTCGTCCTTTAGTTTATCATCTATTTTTTCCTCTGGCTTATATTAAATATTTATATTCCTGACTACGACCAATTGTTTCTATTTCCCCGCTATGCCCTCATTTTAAAATTCCTCTTGTATACTGCAGTACTTTCATTACCATTCCCTTCCTTTATCACCCCCTTGTTAATTACTAAAGCCTTCTCCCATTTACAGTTACTTCTACACTTAAATGTGTCCTCGCTATTGTTCCAACGATCTTCTATTCATGCATTCGCTGTATTTTGATCTTATCTTGAAGCCTTTTTAAATATATTTTTTGTTTTTTAAGGTTTCCTCTCGTATTATTGCTTGTTTGTGGTCCCGGTTCTCCCCCACGTTTTCAAGTAACGTTTTATAGCCGCACGAGTCGCGTCAACTCGTCTCCCTACCCACATACCCGTGCCACAATAAACATTTCTCGAGCTCCATGGTCTATACTTTCAAAAAAAGTTAAGAGATCGTATGTTCATCAGCCAATCATTGACGGCCTTTCAAGCAAAATCCACCAATCATAGACAAGAAAATAGAGCGTAAGTACTTACGTTCACTTAATCATAGACAAGAAAATAGAGCTAAAATCCACCAATCATAGACAAGAAAATAGAGCGTAAGTACTTACGTTCACTTAGCGAATTTTGAAAGTATGGCCCCAGCTGTGTTGCTAACATTGCTCGATTTAACATTTTGTTATGTCAGTACAACGTTTGGAGCATTGCAGGTGTAAGGTTATGTATCGCAATAAATCTCTTCTAGATTATACATACTAACTCTCGGCTATTATTATTCGGAATTTTTTTCTATTGCACTAACTCTTGTACATTGTACGTTATTGGCTGCGTTTAACTCTCGGCTATAATTATTCAGAATTTTATAGTATTGCACTAACTCTTTCACATTCTATGGTGTTATTAGGTGCGATCATCCGGCACTGTTTTTCTAGTTTGATTAATTCGTTCTTTATATGATTTATTTTTGTTGCATTAGAATGTATTCAAACTACCTATTCATGTTTGAGAGCTGATTTTATCTATAGTTCTGTGCTTCAGATTCAAACCACAAAATTTATAGATCCCAAAGTATTCTTTAGCAGCAGATGTTGTTATGTTCTTTTTATCTATTTAAGTTTATATGATCTTTCGTTTTCAAGTTCTTTCGGTTTTCATTAATATGTGCCTTATTTTACTTGACTCCCATCCGCTCTTTGCTATCCCACAAAACATACACATCTTTCACTATTCACTTATCAAATATGAAATCAATATGTTCATTTTGTATAATTTATTACTACTGGGTTTGTACATTCCCCGCATATATACATGATATCTCTCACTGTAAGTATCCCTGCATAATGTACTGTTTATCAGAACCATACGTTTACTTTGCCAGAAAAGACTCCTATATGAGCGCTGGGCCGCCACACCATATCCATGTGTCGCCACAGTGTATCCATGTGTCGCCACACCATATCCATGTGTCGCCACACCATATCCATGTGTCGCCACAGTGTATCCATGTGTCGCCACACTGTATCCATATCTCGCCACACTGTATCCATGTTACCACACCGTATTTTTCACTCACTCCCCGCGACTGCGACAGGTGCCAATGTCTGATGAGCTGCGACGGGCGCTCTACGCGACCTCAGCCTCCATCACCAGCCTCGATGTCGAAGCCCTGCTGCCAGAAATGCTCGACTCTTCAGACATCATCGATCACCAGCTTTTTAAGGTGTGTAAATCGCGAGTTCTTTTAATGGGGGCTGGCATTTTACTTGTCTATTTAACGAGCATCAAACTAATGTGTTTGACGCGTCATCTGGGCTTTGCTGCTACAATTAATAGACATCAAATTATTTTCGCTGCTCTACGATTACATCAACCGTATGATTTTTGTACAGTAGCCAACCAAAATAACCAATCATTACCTCAATATTTTTTTTATAAACTATCATACAGACCTCATTATTCTTCCTAGAATTGGAGCTTTGCCTTGACGCATCACTGAAACAAGTTATTTTATCTATCACAATATCGTTTAATTCTAAGAACATGGCTTCGTTTTACTGTGAAAAACCATTATTGTTCACAAGCATCGCTTGCTTTTTCTGTTTATTTTCACCGGAACAAATCAGTCTAGAACGAGTAGTAGAATTGCTTGGCTTTATTTCATTGTGATGTGCCGTGCGTGCAGAACCTGTACCGCAAGCTACCGCCGCGGATGCAGAGCTACTCGTGGCGCCTTGTGTTCAGCACGGCGCAGCACGGCTTCTCCCTCGCCTCGCTCTACCGCAAGATGCAAGAGTTGCTGGACGCGCCTGTCATGCTTGCCGTCCAGGACACCCAGCAGACGGTGAGGGTGCAGGAGGATGGCGTCCAGAAGGCGATAAAGGAGGGCTTAGGAAGATGGCGTCCAGAAGGCGATAAAGAAGGGCTTAGAAAGATAGCGTCCAGAAGGCGATAAGGGATGGTTTGGTAGTTTGGCCCATAGTCCCATACTTTCAAAAAAGTTGAGAGATCGTAAGTTCATCAGCCAATCATTGACGGCCTTTCAAGCAAAATCCACCAATCATAGACAAGAAAATAGAGCGTAAGTAGCGTAAGTACTTACGTTCACTTAATCATAGACAAGAAAATAGAGCGTAAGTACTTACGTTCACTTAGCGAGTTTTGAAAGTATGGTCCCATGTCTGTTTACCCTGACGATTACATGCAAGCCGCGCTTTTGCTCACCCGAGTGCCGTGCTATACGAAACCATCGGCCCATCCTCGCCTTGTTGATCACTAGGTTTGCCTGTACTTCATTGTTATTATTTGTAATAGTTGTCGCATGTGGCAGGATATCGTTGAAATAATAAAATTCATTGTTTAAAGGGCTCGTTAAACCCTTTATTGTTCTAATTAACCTGCACAAAATGTAGGAATAGCGGATCTATAATGGGGCATAGGAGTTATCGTGGGTTTCCTGGGTTAACATGTGTTGTTTCTTAACTGTCAGTAGCGTTGGCTAATACCGCGTTCAAGTCTTCTCACCAGTGTAAAGCGTTCAATTAAAGAAGTGTGCAATTAAACTCTGATTAGATCTAATTTAATTAAATTGAAGTGTTCAATTAAATTCTAGATCAAAAGAAGCGTTTCACAATATTTTTCAATTTCTGATGAAGTTCGTCACTAGTTGAGTTTTCATTCCTGTCGACGTGTGGCCGTGCCCTCGCTTTCCTGGCGATTCCCAGACGGCTTATATACCTCACATCCGCTTGTGTGTATCCTTGCACTAATTAAATATTCCTCGGAGCATAGGATGGTGCATGTCAAACATCAGTAATCTTTAACTGGAAATAATACATAATTTTTTTATTAGTTTTTTTTTTCGCCAATCTCTAGTGTGTCGTCCTATTCGAGGGAGGCTATAGCAAGCAAAGGGAAAATCCTCCGCATTACTGGTCCCTATGTTTAACTAGATGTTGTTCTAGTTCACCCGTCGATGTTATTTGTGTGTTTTTCCTCTATGAGTAACGAACTAAGTCTTAAGAGGTAACGAAGTGTATACTGTTAACCTAATCTATGTATAACCCTACTTGATGGTTTTTAAGTTCATTTCACTCCGTCTTCGTTCATTATCAGCGTACGCCCTTGATTGTGTGGAAACAATAGTTCCTCGTTTATTTCAAGATGCGAAAATCCCTTCATGAAATCCCGTTAAATTTCGGGCAACATTCCAATATGAAGAGTTGATCGTTGTAGAGTTGTAGTGCATGCGTGAGCGCAAGAATCTGTTCACTGCTAACCCAATCTAAAACGTCCTATATGCTTTTTAACACTCGTGCCGTGGGTCCATTTGTACTAGAACGAGTTCTAGAGGAACTTGCGTAACTCAAGTTGTTCTTATACCGCTTTGCTATTCTTTCCTTTTTTGATCTGTTTATTACATTCGTTAAAGAATCTTAGATTAATTAAATATTACATTCGTTGAAGAATAATATTACACATGATACCTACGTTTGCTTATTAAATCACGAGCATGGCGGTCACAGAAAATAGTGTCAGTCCAGATTGAGATTACTAGCTTGCGGTGGTAATTTAGGTTGTCTTTTTCAGTTCCCCATCGTTACGAGGAATAGTCTTACTGGCTGATCATCTCGTATCAAAGTTAATCACGAAAGTGGAGTTTTTAAATGCCAATGTAATTATGTGCGATACTAATGAATTTACTTGCCATTACAAGCTCTGTTCCGTCTGGCTTATTAGCTTACCTCAACCAACGTAATAATACAATTGATAAAATTGATAAGGGGCATTAGAGAAGCTATTTGACTTGAGGGTAAAGTGCTCTGCTTTGTCCCTCTGAACGCAGACGACCCTCACTGGACCTGGCGCGTCGCTCGTCCCCTCACAGCTCCCAGGAGACGCTGCCCTCGTCAGCGCCTCCTGCGGGGGGCGCCCTCACCTCGGCGGGCACACACAAGCGCGCGCAGTTCAAGGACGGCACCAACGTCGGCTTCAGGAGCCTCGTGCCTGTTGATGACGTCACCAACCTCTTCTCCAGTGTTGATAGTGAGTGTTGGTGTGTTGATAGTGAGTGTTGATGACGTCACCAACCTCTTCTCCAGTTAAGCGCTGAGAGGAGGGGAGTTTACCCTTGCAACATTCAAGAGACAACTGGACAAGTGGTTGAGCAAGATCCCGGACTGTCCAGTTTTTGGAAACTACCATCAGCAAGTGACAAGCAACAGCATCTTGCATCAGCGTGCCCAAATGAGGGCTAATAGACGGAACCGTCCAACGTTACATCCGACGACGACTCGGAGACGGAGGACGACGAAGGCGGCGCATCAGCGTGACCGTGGACTGCGACGTCCTAAACCCATCATAAGGTCATATTTTAATTGGAATTAGAAGTAGAGGATTTCTGAGAGAGTTTGAATAGGAATTGATAAGCGGTGCTTTCCCTTGTAGCCGAAAAATAAAATACACTAATAAAATACACTAATAAAATACACTAATAAAATAGGCTAATACAATTAAACTCATGTAGCCTTCTTGCCTCGTAACCTGGCCTGCATGCCTCGATTGATAGCTTGGCTTCAAAATCTGAAAGAATTGAGTCAATTGTGTGAATAAATAATTTTTTTCTTGTTATTCTTACGAAGAGCGGCTGACCTTAGCCGACTGCTGGACCTGTGGGGCGGTGGGATCTACGGGGAAGTGGACGAGCAGAAGATCGCTGAGCGCGGCCTTACCCTCATATTAGAGGACACAGACCTGGCGGTACTCGAGGGCAAGAGTCCTTCCGGCAGCAGCGGTGCAGAGGGCGACGCAAGCGACAGCGGGGCGCAGCTCAAGGATATCACTAAAGAAAGCTGGGAGGTGAGACCTCGTCTCTAGACGCCATTGCGATATTTTTTCTCAAGAATAGCTTCTTTTTAATTATCATTCGGCATAATGGTTGCGTATTCTTGACTACCTGTTTTCCTTCTTGAGAACGTCACGTTTTAACCTATTTCTCGTCAAAATGTCTCTTTTTAACTTTTTTCCTAAATAATGTCGTGTTTATTCATATGATTTATGCTTAGTTCTATTTACAAACTTATTAATTGCTTTGTCACTATATTGGCTTGCATTGATTGAAGTTTTTATTTTAGCTCTATTTATCATTAGTATGGTTTCTTTGTTCACTTCTTGCCGTGGATTAGTGTTGTGATTTGTTGTTGGTCTGTGGTGAGGTGTGGTGCTGCAGTGTGGAGGTTTGTTGTTGGTCTGTGGCGTGGTGTGGTGCTGCAGTGTGGAGGTTTGTTGTTGGTCTGTGGCGTGGTGTGGTGCTGCAGTGTGGAGGTTTTTTGTTGGTCTGTGGCGTGGTGTGGTGCTGCAGTGTTGTGATTTGTTGTTGGTCTGTGGTGAGGTGTGTTGTTGTTGGTCTGTGGTGTGGTGTGGTGCTGCAGTGTGGAGGTTTGTTGTTGGTCTGTGGCGTGGTGTGGTGCTGCAGTGTGGAGGTATGCAGAGTGACACAATTTATCTTATCATTAATTACAGTTTTATGACTTAGCGACTGAACATATGAACGGAATTCGTTCAAAACTCAACTCGACCGTGAGTGGATTTGCCATGAACTATTAGATGTCTTCGCTCGGCTTGAGTGTAGCAATATCAGCTGCATCATACTTTCAGTAGCTAGTATGCCTGTCACTTTCGTTGGCAAGTGTGGAAATTGAGAAAAACTTTCTAATTATTTATATGAGTTGATCATTTTTACACAAAAAGTTAAATTGAATTTCGAATAAAGATGACTCAATGATTTCTGTTCCCAAGTCAGCGTTCAAGAAAAATAAGAAAGGATTGACTACTAGAAACTGAGTAGGTTTTATTTCAAGGTGGAAGCATAGTATTATAGCCGGCTCGGTCATCTATGTCTGGCCTCAAACGTCGCATCTGCAGGTAGACGAACCCTAATTTGAGAAAATTGCGTGAACAAACGAGGTACTAATATCCTATCCAGTGCTCAAACAAAAAAAAAAAAAACGGTGGAATTCAAAATTTATTAACGGTCCAGCCCTAAAGGATCGTCCAGTTTTAGTAAATTAGCTATTGCTGCAGGAGTGCCTCTAAAAGGAGCTGCTACCCTAACAAAATTCGGGGACCGCCTAGGCTTCGACCGAATAGTCACTACACTCGGCGCATAGTTATTCTGGGTCAGTTGGCCAACTGATCGCAATCAGCGACTAGTCAGAACCTCCTGGCCGACTTTATGGTCTCCTGAGAGTAGGGCAAGAGTTGGCAGAATCCCCTTAGTCCCCTCACCAGGCTCTGGTAGCTGTCTGATTCGGGGGCCAGAATGTAGACCAAAAAGCGGACATAGAGAAGCTGATTTACGTTCGGTCCGAGTCCTAGGCGGTTCATAATTCAGGCTCGCCACCAACTAAAAATTTTGATAGGGTAGGCAAATTTCCGATCAAGCGGGAGCATCTTGCGGTTAGAAGTGGTGTAGGAAATCTGATAGAAGTGGTGTAGGAAATCTGAACATTTCCGTTGCAGTAATTCTTCTTCAGCTTCGGCTTGAGACCGTCCAAAATACTGATTATTATAATTAATAAAATTAAATTGAATTCCACAAGATTTTTGTACAATTTTCATCAAAAACTAATCGATTGCAGCTACTAGGTTCAGGAATGGATGTCCGTGTTTAACTTTGATGTAGATATGCTGTTACCTACGTAATTAGTTGTGTGGCTCTACAAAAGCCCAAGTTTTGTCATATTACAAAAGTGACCGATATGTGTCAGCTTTGTCTATAATTGACTTCTTTCCTATGTAGTAAGCTGCTGCCAATTAACTTGGCTTCAATATATCTCATTGTATCGTCTGGAATATTACAGCATCCAGGAGGCATATTAACATCCAGCGTAAGGATAGAAAATTAAAGACTAGCAATCCGCGTAATGAAACAGTTTGTGAAAATGGACTTTGGCTATCATTTCAACTTGAAATGTGACTCATTGATTACGCCACTTCAAATACTATAGTCCTGGGTCGATGTGTCATAAAAGTGTCTGGCAAGGTGTCGTGTGTCACAGAATCACAGAAGCAAGTGCGGTGCCCTCAAGACACTCGAGCCACGTGTAATTAAGCGATAGTCTTGACACCCTCTTCACGTTACACGAAGCTGTCACTCATGACACTTAAATTATTATGCCTATTGTTGGGCCTCAGTTCTCGCCTCTAGCAACACTGCATCAACGCCAATTTTCGTTCATTTTAAAGTTTCTCAAGACGTAATTTTTCAAAATTTCGCGCCCGAACAAAAAGTTGTCATATTCTTAAATGTCTTGCGTTATCATTACGAGGTATATTTTCTGCAAGACTTACATCATGTTCACTGAAGAATAAACAAGGTTTAAATTCAATAATCAACCTCTTTATAATCGGGCCTGAGCTTTGCTGACGCCCAGCATCGGAATTGATGTGTTAATCTTAATAATCGGAATGGATGTTAATAATGCCCTCATCTAAATCGACCATTCACTTTTCATGAAAGATTAAATTGAATGAAAGATTAAATAAAAAGATAAAAAAAAAAGATTAAATGAAAGATTAAATTCGCCGTTTAGTTGCTATTCTAGATGCTGGACGGAATCACAATTAGAAGACAGTTATGTTCTTAGCTTTGCTAGGTAGTGCCAATTTCTGGAAAAGGACGAACCGTACGACTTCTGGCTAATTCGGTTCGCGGTTTACCGGTTTAATATTAGCTTTCTAAAGCCATGCCGAGCATACACTCTGTATGTAACTGCAAAAGATGTCGCCGGGCGCCAATGTTCGTGTTGTGATTGTTAACAATGGCACAGAAATCATTTGCTCCTAAAAATGTGCAGAATATGTGTGAATAAATAGGAAGTTATTCGACGAAATTTGTGTTCTATACTTTTTTTGGTATTATTTCAAGATTACTGATTGTCAAGATTACTTTTCATTCCGAGAAATACTAAGTCGGTATGTCCAAAGAAATTACTTCGTGACTAAAAATTTTGTATCTCGTTACTCCTTCCTAATCGGATGACGGTTAAGAATCCCCTTGATATGCTCATATTATTTCAATAGCCACTTAAAATTAGGGAAACATAAACGCTTAAAAGGCAATTCAAATTTCAGCAGCAAAATTTAAAAGTCACAGAATGATACCTCCACACTCACCCCATAACCATGAAATAATTGATTAATCGTGAAGGAATGACAGGCAGCCACAACAGTCAAGAAAAATCGAGATTTTTGCTCATTTCCATCCGAACGCATTTCTCGCAGCGACATGAGGCGTATCGTTCCGCGTGACTGCGCTGAAACGGACCCCAAAGCAACAATTCTTAATAGAGCACTGCATGCATAGGAGAAAGGTTGTAATGATCAAGTACCAAGAACGCTGCTTTCCTCACTACCTAAGGTTTTTTTTCAGTGAGAAACTACATGTTTCAAAGAACGTCGCTCCTAAAGAAACCTATATCATACTTAGTTCGTTCAGTATCTGACTGCGGGTCTAAGTCGTGGGGTTACGTTATGAAGGCTAGATTTATTGCATAAGTTCTCTGTCTCGTAGCGGGCGACAGACGACGCCTCGTGCCAGCTTCTTGTCTTTTATCTTGCTCTTTATTTGACCTTTCTTCGTGCTGATCTTTCTTCGTCTCTTCAAGTCGCTTATACGCTTCATGTTACTCGCCAACCAATATAGCGACATCAACACGAGCTCAATGAAAATGATTGATTTGTACATTTCCATAGTGGAATATCATAATACGTAAATAATATTATAACATATACTACTGGATAATATTATAAAATTCTTCAATAATATTATGCTATTGGAATTTTTGCGGTGGTCGGCTAGCCGCAGTTTCCTAGTTTCTCTCAAGTCACCTCAGTCTCTTCACTCCTCAGTGGCTCAGTGACTCAGTGTCTCAGTCGCGCTGTGGTAATGGCCACAGCAACATGTTAGTGAATAGTGCTCCGAGTGCAGCTCTGACTGTTGTTGTTTGTCTTCAGCCACCTGTTATTTATTCCGCAGAATCAACCAAGTGGTTTTAATCATAATGCTTGTTGGCTGTATTTTTATTAATTTTTCTTAAATTTCTAACTTCACTAATAGATTATTATACTTGGTAACTAGAAAAGTCTATGAATATTTTCTTTTCCCAACTCTTGGCACCGGCCACCGTCACACAAATTTTACACTTGGATAGTTTTCTTAGTTTTTAATTACGGTGCGAATTGGTGTGTAGACTGTAGAGTTCCTTATTTTTATGGCCATCTTTTTAGGTTTCAGGCAATGGAAAAAGAGGTGTTCGTACTGTCTTGAGAGGGCAAAGTTTGCTGGAAGGAAATTCGTCCGTAATTAAAAATTCTTCCATGATTTTGTGGTGTAACTTCTATGAATTTTGAGTCTAATTCACAAAGAATTTGTTGGCTTGCCTGGCTTACCCGGTATACATTATACCTGCCTGCAATTTTAGTTTATCTATATTTCAAATCTCGCCATCTAAAACCCGGCTGATAATTTTGGGACTAAATTACGTTAGTTAAAGCCTAAAGGAAGACCCGTTCGAAATCTCATTCTTTATAAATTCCATCCATTAAAGCCCGTTTAGAATTTAACGGAATTTTTATCAGTCCTTGAAGGGAGTGCTCAGCGACGAAAGTGACATGGCAGCACATCAATATTGTTGTACACACGTGTGCCCCCGCTCCCAATTCAAGTGCTCAACTACAAGCTTTTCTCAATATTCATTGCTCTGAAAAAATTTAATCGGCATCAAATTCAACGGAAACTTGAACCTATTTTTTTTAACCGAATGAGCTTTCGGGCTGAGTCTTAGTCGAGGATAAAT